TATGTCCCTTTGACATGCACCCATCCTTTTGTTTTTCGAGCACTTCCTTACTTTCTGGCCCTACAAGATGCTCCAGGCTCACCCTGTATTTTCCCTGCCTCAGCCCTAGAATCAGCAATTTCTCCAAGGAGCCCTGGTTTCTTTTATTGGAGGATGGTATTAAAAACCAAGATTGAGGGGCCAGCCCAGGGGCATAGCAGTTAAGTGCACGTGCTCTGCTAAGGCAGCCCTGGGTTCACAGGTTCGGATCCCGGGCACGCACTGGCGCACTACTTGTCAAGCGATGCTGTGGTGGGCGTCCCATATAAAGTGGAGGAAGATGGGCACAGATGTTAGCCCAGGGCCAGTCTTCCTCAGCAAAAAGAGGAGGATTGGCGACAGATGTTAACTCAGGGCTAGTCTTCCTGGCAAACAAAACAAAACAAAACCAAGATTGAGTGCTGGGGTGTGTGCATTGCTACGAAGGTGTCACTGTTTCTAGGTCCTCTCACAGCAGGCAGAGCTGGGAGATGTATGGATACTAACCCATGTATTCAAGAATACTTATAATTATTTCTGTATCTACCCATTTGTATCTATATTAAGCTACCTACGAGTTCATATGATGTCTTGGATGAATCCAGTACCATATGCTCCTTTTAGGCTTCTCTACTTGCTTATCTGTAAATTCCCTTTCCAATAATGAGAAACCTGGCTACCCTCATCTAAAGGTTTAATTTTAAGGACTTTCCACCCTTTTTCCTACTTTATTCAGTTTTATAAATCAGTTCATCATCTGTAATTTCTACATTTCATTGAAAGGAAGACATGAGTAGGAGAGGAAATGAGAAAACAATGAAACACCCTCCAAGTCTTCCAAGATCTTATCACAACAGTGAAGAAGTGGACATTTATATACATGTTACCATTGAGACTACTGGAGCCCTTGAAATTACAGGCTCTTAGGAATTAAATGTCATCAAAAGAGGATGAATATAGTTCATCTATCTACCCACCTGTCATCAATCATCTATTTTTTTGTGCCACAATATCCTCGTGCAGCAGCTCTTTAGAATAACTACAATTTATCACCTTCTCCAAGAAGTTTGAGTAATCAAGGATGGAAGGGTTTAGGTATTAAGGAGCAAAAAGAATTTCTTTTGCTTTTACAATCATACTAGGATCATGGATTTCCTGACTGCCAATGCCAGTGAAGGGCAGAATTATATTTGATTAGTTTGTCATTTTCTACCTTTCTTTCTTTTTTGCTGAGGAAGATTGGCTTTGAGCTAACATCTGTGCCCATCTTCATTTTGTACGTGGGACACCACCACAGCACGGCTTCACAAGCCGTGCATCGGTCCACGCAGGATTCGAACCTGCGAACCCCAGGCAGCCAAAGCAGCGCACGTGAACTTAACCACTACACCACCAGGCCAGCCTCCGTAGTTTGTCATTTTCAATCTGTGGATGTTTAAAAAACCTGTTTAAAACCAAAGACCATTTATTGAAATTCCAGATCTGGCTATCACCTTCTGTCTTTGAAAAGTTTTCTTATTTGGAGTGATACATCATCTTCAGTGTATGAGCTACAGAAGTATAATTGCCACACATCATTATTAATAAGAACATTTAGTTACTTTTAAGGCTCAGTGGAATCTGGTCAACATTAATATAACATGGACACCTGACTGGCAATTAACAATTGAGACATCATATTCAGATATGTTTGATGACTATTACTTGAATATGTTTTGGGGTTATGATGTTCTCAATAGATTTAAGTAATATATGTGAAACCAAGCCAACCACTGAAATTTCTAGTTTTACTCTATAATCCTTTGCTTGCTTTAGAGCTGAAGTTTTCTATGGCATTATTACTAAGTGTATTAATTAATTATTATATAATAGTGATAAATGGGCATTAGTAGGTATCCCCAATTACTCCTCCTTTCAATGCTGTGCATTTGGGCAATGTTTTCTAGTCATCTTTTTGGTCAATAAAGGCAAACGGGAAATAGACGAAATTAGCCTCTCTATTGGTTCTATCAAATACTTTTATTTAATAATTTTCACCTATTGGCACATATTCATTCATTTATTCAAGAGGAATTCCCCAAATAGACGGCACTGCACTAAACACTCTGGGAGATTCAAGTCTAGAAACAAGGCTACATTAACTGTCATCATTAAATGAAAGAGTTATTTTTCTATGGATTATAATAATCTCCTCTAAGGACTTTCTTTTGCTTTAAAGAATACAATCTTAGTAGCTTTGAATCCACCAACGATGACCAAAATTCTTCAAGATATAGATATGATAAGAATGTGGGTTCTGGGGTCAAGTTGCCCGAGTTCCAACTCCACCCCTTAATACTATGACCTGAGACAAGTTATTGAACCTCGTGAAGCTTCAGTTTCCTTTCCTGTAAAATGGAGAAGATAATAATACCTATCTGTATTAATCTTGGGGCATAGTAAGTGCTCAATTAATGTCAACTTACTATAATAATTAATTGGAATAGACAATAGTGGTTACTTAATATAATTTCTCATTTGTAAATTTTTGTCTTTATTTCCCATCACTGTATGTGTATCAATACTGCAACCAGACTGAACTACACATCCTTCTCTCAACACTGGAAGATATTTCACACTTCTTAGAAAGACTCTTCCCTTCCTGGACTAACCAGCCAACTCTTACTCACCCTTCAAGCCTCAGTCCACACATCTTTCATTTTGGTCACTTAGTCATCATCCAACATTTTTTTTAACGCCCACTCTAAATGGCGTCTTCCTTCTGGAAACACATCTACCAAATTAAACATAAGTAGAATTAGCACTGCTTAGAACAGTGCCTGCTGAACTTGCATCTTAGACCATCTTCCTGTTTAGAAAATTGATCCTGTTATACGCTCAGTAAAAACTTTAGTTACCTGCCAGCAAGACATTGTTCCCCCAAATGTATTTATTCTGCGTATTTTTGTGCTCCACCAGCTTAGTTCAGTTTTTACAGAGCTTTTAGGTCCATTACTAAGAGTAAACCAGATACTTAGCCAAGACACAAAGAATTAGTCAGAAACACTGAGAACAGTGGCTAAGTATCAGTCATTAAAGGGAGAAGAGCTTTAACAGCTTCTCACAAAATTCCCTTTCTTTGGGAAACTTCCATATATGATACAAAATTAACAATAATTACCAGACTCAATGCATGCTGAACTGAATCTTGTTTTAAACAGGATGTAATGTGGGGGCACACTCATCACACAAATATCCCATTGCAGATGTTAACTGCAATACATATGCTCCTCTGATAATACATGTATTAGTTAGGAATTCCTGAAAAGGAACATCTGTGCAAACCTGAAGCTTAATTATATGCTTTAAAAAATAGTGCTTACCTATTGATAAACATGAGAAAAGGGAAATGGGCAATATGGACATGTGTTCTCACACATTTCTGATATTCTTTAAATATCATGAAAAGGTATTGTGACTTAAATATAAGAAACATGGGGGGCCAGCCTGGTGGCACATAGCAGGTAAGTTCTGTGCGCTCTACTTCCAGGGCCCCGGTTCCACAGGTTCAGATCCCAGGCACCGACCTACACCCCTCGACAGCGACACCGTGGCTGCGACCCACGTACAAAATGAGCAAGACTGGCACCCATGTCAGCTCAGGGCTAATCTTCCTCAAGCCAAAAAAAAAAAAAAAAAAAGAGAGAATTGGCATCAGATGTCAGCTCAGACCTAATCTTTCCCAGAAAGCTAAAAATAGAACACAAGCCCAATGAACCTGTCCTCTAAAAGCATAATAATCAACACACCTAGTTTTCACCTGCTCTCAAAGGTATCAGTAGATAGAAGGCCATCACTGAAGATTTTAGGGAAAGTAAATACACGGCTGGAGCTTTAGTTTTTAGCTCGATTAATCTGAAAAAAGCGTCTGGGAAAAGATGGTCAGGAGGTTGCACGTGCGGTGAAGGGCTGTAACTCGAAGGCAGGAAGTCTGTTTGCAAAGCTTCACAGAAAGGAATGACTCAAGCTCAACGCCTTCTCCGCCCGCCCTGCTGCTCCCCGGCGCGGCTCAGAGCTGCAGTCGGGGGACGAGCCCCGCGCTCACGAGCGCGCAGGCCCCGGGCGCTTCCTCACCCGCGACCGCCCCCCGGCCTGAGGGTAACGAGCCCACGTCGCCGCCTCCGTGCCGCCCCCGCCTCCGCGGGCTCACGGGCACCAGCCCGGCCGCCCCCTTCCGCAGGCGCCGCGCCCGGGAGCCGGCTCGCACCTCTCTCCGGGAGGGGACGCGTCACCACCGTCGGCTGATTTTACAGGGTTTCCAACATGGGCGCTTTAACCCGGAGGGTCTGGTGTGAGAAATCATTTCGGGGGGTGGGTGGGGACGTCCCTGCGGTCAAACTTACCCCCTGGGTTCCCATTAACCGTCCCCCCGAACCCCCAGCTCTCGCTCACTCCCTCAATGTCCGGGGCCCGGGTGACGGGGTCGAGCCCGGGGCGACTCTGCACGTGAGGCAGAAGGAATTCTCGCTCCGTCCTCGGGAACCCGGAGCGGGGGCGCGGCGCCGGCTCCACGCGGGGCGGCTTCCACAGGTGGCGTTGAGGGAGAGCTCCTGATAGCGCCCTCATTTCCTGGGGACGTGCGTGCTGGCAGAAACCAGAACCTTCGCCCGCGCCTCCCGCTCCTCCATGGGGACAAAAGGGCTGGGCACGGCAAGGCGCGACGTGCCAAACTCAGCGCGCCTCATGGCTGCCGCGCAACCCCAACCGCCCCCGCCCTCCCCCGGCGCACGCGCACTGGGGCTCCAGGAGGCCGCCTGGGGCCCCGCCCCTAGGTGGGCGGGCCCGGCGCCTCCCCGCTGGCCAATCGGTTTCCTCCTTCCTCCCCGCCCGCCTCGCCGGGCTGCCGGTTGCACGTGCCAGTTGTTTGTGTACGTGCGGCGGCCGCGGGGCGGGGCCGGGCCCGGCTGCCAAGGGCTAGGCTGCTGGGGCGCGGCCAGGGCTGGGGCGCGGCGGCGAGGGCGGGCCCCCTGGCCCGGGTGATCTTTAAATTCTTCCGCACTGGGGCAGTCTGTGCACTTACCTGGCAGTCTGCAGCGAGTGCCGCGCTGCCCTGCACTCCCAAGGACTCCTGTCCTCTGCTTTAGGCGGGAAATGCAGTTGCTGGATTGCAACCCAGAGGTGAGACTCGGGCCCCTTTTGTCCTGCAGGCTTAAGCTTCCAGATGTCTGTCTGCTCGGGAGCGCTAGCGGGGGTGACTGACCACTGGGCGCCGCCGAGTCAAGCTTCTTCGGAGTTGGAAGGTTTTTGGAGTGGGGGAAGATTTTCAACTCCGGGAGGGCGGAGGACTGGACAGAGGCGAGAGGGGTGCTGGAGCTGTTCTCTTCCCGCAGGTGGATAGTCTGAAGCATCTGCTGGAGGCCGGGGCCTCGGTCAACGCACCCCCGGATCCCTGCAAGCAGTCGCCTGTCCACTTGGCCGCAGGGGGCGGCCTCGCTTGCTTTCTTCTCTGGCAGCTGCAAGCGGGCGCTGACCTCAACCAACAGGTAACTAGGTAACTGATTGTTGCCCTGTGCAATCCTCCCCTCCACCCCAAATCCGTGCACACGTCTCTTAGACGCGCAAATAGTTGTTATAAACATGTCTATAGCAGCGATGTCCAATAGAAATATAACGCGAGACACGTATGTAAAGTTTTCTGGTGGCCACATTAATGAAGTAAAGCAAAACATGAAATTAATTTTATAATTTAACCCAGCTTATCCAAAATATTATCATTTCAACGTGTAATCAGTATAAAACATTACTGATCGATAGTCTACATTTTCTTTTCGTATGTCTTCTCAATCTGGTATTTTACATTTGCAGCACATTTCAGTTCAGATTAGCCACATCTCAAGTGCTCGTTAGCCGTGTGTATGGCTACCGGCTACTACACTGGACAGCATACATAGGTCTGCAGTTTCTTTCCAAAGGAACAATTGCTACATTTCCAAATTGAAAGTTATCAGTATAGCAATTGAAATAATACTTGAGGCTAATATAATACTTGTGAGGTGTGCTCACAACCATTACAGTTTCTTGCAGCACTTTCTTATGGTAGTCTGCCTCTTCCATTGGGTATTAAAGTAAGGTGGATTTTAAATTGTAAATTTTTTTACTTCTGTAGAACTCCATATTGCTTTTGTTTACTTAAATTTTAATATATGTAGCTGTGGCTGCACATGTTTTTATTAATGAAAACGTTGTATTTAAAATCACACCAAGTGAACTTAATTAAAAACCTTGAGTTAAAAAATTCAGTCCAGTGCAGTACAGTTCTAAGTGGCTTCCTCATATAGCTTCCTCAAACAATAATTAGACTTCACCCACCAACTTCCACAAGGAAGTATTTTGGGATTAGACTAAAATGTGCTCTTATCTCAAAGGATGTTTTTGGAGAAGCTCCACTACACAAGGCAGCAAAAGTTGGCAGCCTGGAATGCCTCAGCCTGCTTGTAGCCAGTGACGTTCAAATTGAGTAAGTATAAAATTAGTGACTTCACGTTTTATATTTTCTTAGATTAAACTAGTCAGACTCCTGAAGCTTAATGACATGTGCTTTTAAAAATGATGCTTGCCTAATTGATAAGTTAGTGTTATCATTTAAATGTTAACTTAGGCTGTTAATGATATCTGATACTATTCCATTTGAGTACGTAAAAAATGGATCCTGAGTAATCAGAGGTGCAGTTCTGTTCATCTATTATGGCAGTATTACATCTTAGTTTTGGTTTAGGAAAATCCATTCTATAAAAGTTCTCATTGACTTCCTTTGGGTACTTATTCGTTGTATTGAACACAGAATATTTTCATTCATTCAAAAATGGAATGTCCACTCTACTGGACTGTGTCCTTGCCACTGAGGATAATGAGTGAGCAAAAATGGAATTTCTCTATGCTTCCTTTACCTCTTCTATTCTGAAACCAATATTGGTATGAGCCCAAAGCTCCTTTGTTAGGAAGAAAAAAAAAAAGGCTAAACAATTGTTAATTTTTATTTAACTCAATTTTTGTCTTAAATTCAGTTTATGTAATAAGAATGGGCAAACAGCTGAAGATCTTGCTTGGTCATATGGATTTCCAGAATGTGCCAAGTTTCTTACAACAATTAAATGTATGCAGACAATAAAATCAAGTGAACAGTCCAGTGGAGATCATTGTGTTCCAGTGCTCCGACAGAAACGAAGTTTTGGAAGTATAGAAAATACAAATGGGAAAAGGAAGTGTTGGTAAGTAACTCATAGTTTCTTCTTTCTTCCTCCTTCAAGGATCTCTTATTTAGCACAGAATTTATTCTTTCATTTAAATATTGGCAGTCTTATTTCTAGTATGTCTTTTCATTTTCATTAACACATTTTAATACTGGTTATAGTAACTACTACTAGATTCTAGAGACCAAAATTGTCCTGTATGGTAGAAGGTTGGGGAGAAGACTTTTTTAAAAAGTTTTTAAATGTGAATATGTTTTTTAACAACAGATGTCATGTTGGTTTTGAAGAGATTTGAAGAAGGCCTTCACTTGGTGCAGATCTACTGCTCAGCTACAAGCTATGGTTTTTGGCTCACTAACGTGTGTCCTTCTAAGAAGGGAGAAAACTTTCTTCTAAGTGAAGATAACATTTAAGAATACATGTATTTACATGCCTATAATATTTTGGTTGTGCATGCTTTGTCTTTTAAGTTGTTAAAGGAATGTCTAAAGAATAAATTCTTTGTGCAGTATTTACAATCTTTGGAAAAAAATCATAGTTTAAACCATCAAACTACACTCAGGATTTAATTTGAAATTAAACTTATTGTTTATTAACAAATTTATAATACAACTTTATTACAGTCTTTGAGTCCAAGATATTTCAAATAATATTTGGTCGCTGGGGAAGACATAAGTTATAGTAAGCATCCTTGTTCCAAAAGTCTGGGCCCTTCCATCCACACCAGCCCTAGATTTGGGAGAAGGGAAAGGAAAACCTTTTACAAAGTTATAGGACTACACCATCGAAATTGTAACATTTTACAGTCCTGCTGTAATCTCGAATCTCGAGTCCAGCAGGATCTCGAAATAAGACTCTAAATACCTATATAATTAATTCAAAGATTTGAATTCCTATAAAGCATAGAAAAGTAAGTTATTTGGGTCCATTTCAGATAGAATTTTTAAAAATTTTAATTCTATTGTATTTAATCATAGAAATTATAAAAAAAAGAAAAGCTTCCTTATGGTGATTGTTACTCCAAATGCCACATTTTAGTGATTCTAAGATGTACAGTTTTACAATTCTGGCAGTCGATGGCGTGTGATGGTTTAAAAATGGGCAGTTTGTTTTTCTTAGCAGTCCATACAAGACAGTAATATCCACCATGCAGAGGCATCTCAGCTATGAGGAAATAAGGCAGTGAGAAATCTGAACTTGCCCCGAGTTACATTCTATGCCCTTCCTTTTCCTCAGGCAGTCATCATTCAATTTTTCCATTCTTCATGTCAGTATTAACCCTTTTCCCCAGCAGAGAAAATTATTTTCAGACAAAATCTCATTGTGAATATAAATGTTTATCAAATTTTATCAAGGGCTATTGATTTAAGACCCAGCTAACGACTGGTCTGTTAAATCATTCTGAAGTAAAATGCTTTGTTTGTGAAATACTTGTGAGGAGGCTAGCTAGGACTCTTAAAACACCACTGGCTGACAAGGTGGTGGTGGTCTTTACTCTAATTCACTCAGAAGCTGCTGGGTATTCTGGCAGGGACCTAGAGTCCAAGTTCACAGTTCCTACAGAAGGCAGTGTGTTAGCTCTGTTTTCATTGTGGAGGCAGGAGGGTGGAGTAGAAATGCTCTTTAATTTTCTCATTTTTCTTTTTCTAATTGCAAAAACAAGATACACATTGTAAAAATTCAAATGAGATGAAAGTAAAAAATAAAAAAAAAATCCTGCACCAGTCCTACTCCCCCCGCCCCCAGGTAACCGCCGTTAAGTTTGGTTTATTGTCTTTGAGACCTATTTCTGTACATAAATAAGCTTTTTATTATCTAATTTTTTGGCAAAACTTCAATAAATGTAATGTCCTAAAATCTGTTTTCTTAATGGTAAATGGAAAAAAAGGCTTAATCTATCTCTGTTTTAATCTTTTTGTGATCCTTTCACACAGGTAGGCCTTCTCCAGGTAATCAGACTCAAATTTTCTTTTAAGATAAGTGGATAGAGAGGGTGCCAAAGCCAGGAACTAACAGGAGTAGATGGGGGGGCCATGCCTCTTTCCTTTGAGGTGACTGGCCTGGGAACTTCAAACAGGAAAACTCTCAAAGAAGGTAAAGAGAGGTCAGGCAGAGGCAGAACTTTCCCTGGCCGCTGCTATCACATGTTGAAGCCTGATCCCCAATGTGGTGCTATTGGGAGGTAGGGCCTTTGGGAGGGGAGAAGGTTTTGAGGGTGGAGCCCTCGTGAATGGGATTAGTATCCTCATTAAAGAGGCCCCAGCGAGCTCCCTCAACTCTTCCACCATGTCAAGACACGGTGAAAAAGACTGCCCTCTATGAACCACGAGGTGGATCTGAGATTTCCCAGCCTCCAGAACTGTGAGAAGTAAATTTCTGTTGTTTATAAGCCACCCAGTACATGGTATTCTGTTACAGTAGCCCGAACAGACTAAGACAGCGCCTTAGATTCTGGAGTCAAGTGAGAGGGAACAGTTCTACTGATGGCCAGGCCTCGGCTTCATGGTTTCTTATATGTGCTAATAGAGCAATGGGTGTTTTGCAGTTGCAAAATTCTACAGAAATATAACTAGCAAAGAAGGAGAGTGCAATTCTCAGAGAAAGTCATCAGGGACAAGGCCTTACTGTAGCTAACTGCTTCAGAAAACCCTATCTAGATAGTTCCATCTAGTGCAAAGTCCCTCAAGCCAGTCAGAAAGAAGTAATTTTATTATCTATATCATGCCTCCAATAAAATAATTAAGGCTTCTCACTGCCTTTAAGACACAATCTAAATGCCCTGCTTCTCTGCCTGGCTCAGATGGCCACCCTTCTGGAATTAGCTCCTGTGCACCCCTCCAGCCACACCTCTTCACCAGTGCTAGTCATGTGAAAACTACCGTAGTTTACGGAATGTGCCGGGCTTTCCTTTCCCTGTCTCTAAGTGATCCCTCTACAAGATCAGCCATGTTGTAACCTCCACCGTAGATACCACATTTGTTCCTGAGGGTCCTTTCCACACTCTCCTTCTCTGTTCTTCTACACTAGACCGACAGATCCTTAAAGACCTTGTTAATACCCCTAGTGCTTAGGACAGTGGATGTCACATATTAGGTACTTAGTGAATGCTGAATGAAAACTTTGCTACAGAAAGAGAGTCAATATTGCTCCTATTTTCAGTAAGATATGTGTGCCAGCCAACAATATTTCATAGATTAAAAAGTCCAAATGCCTTAAAAGAGAAAAGCAGGGAGAAAAACACCTAAAATTTTAAGAACGCATTTATGACCTGTTAGTATTTACAGATGACTCTTATTATTAGCAAAAGACTTTACTAACCTGGGGCTATAAGAGAGTTCAGCTACACACACATTAAAGCGCCTTACATATAAAACATCTTTAGGGTTTTCGTAATCTAATGTAGTTATATTCTTTTCAACCTCTGAAAACATCTCACCAATTAATTTCAATGTTAAACCATCCAATTCCCCAGAATTCTGCTTTTAAAAAAGTGACCTAATTAAACCACAACTTCAAAGTTCAGAAAAACCTTTTTATTGGTACTAATGATACTGACTTAAGTAACAACATGATAAAAATGAAAGATAGTGGGTAACAGGATATATTATTGTCATTATTAATTATATTAATTATCACTATTAAATTTATACCTCCTTTAGCTGATATTATGAGCATCAACAAATGTCTCAAATTCAAATCCTTTATAGAATGAGATTGTTCTATGTAAACACATTAAAAGTAGTCTAGTTTCCATAATGTCCAGCATACTGCATAGCTATTTTTGGTTAATTCTAAAATTATAAAAGTTTATATATTCCACTCTCCTATTTCAAGGCATTGGTAAACCTCAATACATTTGTTTATGCAAAGCTGTAAAATCTCCAAGGGAATATATTGATGAGCTTTGTATTCCATTATTAAGTTTTGTAAGAGAGAAAGTCTTTTTAAATCTAACCTAAACTTTGTCTTCTGCAATTTACTTTAGTTCCCTCCTGTCCTCCCTATCTGGAGAGACAGTTACTCATCACAGCCTTAGAATACCTCCTGATGGTGAGGATCACTGCCTTGGTTTATAATCTCTTTTCCTGTTAACAGCCGGTTTGCTATACTTTGGTTCTGGGTTCTTTGCCTTGTATCTGAATTTCTGTTAAACAGATACTTACCTTTTCCAAAATAACTTGCAGATCTTCAGCACCTGTATAATGCGGATCTAAAATCAGAAATTTTATTTGCCCTGTAACCTCATTCCATGCAACTCCGAGTATTGTGTGGGCCAAAACACCTCCCCCTACAGAAGAAGAAATATGAAATATGAGAGGGCATACGTTAACCTCAACTTCCTATTCAAATTAAAAAGACTATTTTGCCTATTGATTGATCTAACACAACACTAAAATTGACTAGCCTACATTGTAAAAGACCACAAACAATGTCAATTATACTCTGAAAAGATAAAATAACATCTTTAAGACAGAAAAGATACAATCATATCTATGATTATTTAAAGTTTATAATCCACCGCCATATCCATGGAATCACCTAAACTGGATTTAGAGGGCCACAGAGGGTCTAAACTCCTCCCAGCAGGGTACCGATCACTGCTGTGGTACCTCTCTCAGCTGATGGGCATGCCGCCTCTGCTCTGAGTACCTTCAGGGGTACAGCCCATCCACTCCTTCATTCTTCCTGATATTCTGCTAAAATCTGCCTACCTGTATCTCTTACACACCAGTCTTAGCTTGTCTTCTAGCATCACAGGACAAGTCCTGTTCCTCATAGAATTGAGAATCTTTAGATCAGCTAATCCAACCCTCTCGTTTTACAAATAAAGCCCAGAGAGGTTGAGCAATTTGTATAGTGTCACACAGCCAGCCAAGTTAGTGACAGAGCCATGACTTATGATGCTCAGTTGAGTGATCATTGCCTCTTTTCCATATTGCTCTCAACTCTAAATATTTGAACACAGTTATCATTTCTCTTCTTAGCCATTACTTCTTCTGGTTACTATAATCTTTTTTGTAACTTTCCTCCCACCTTGGAAATTTTAAAATAAATATCTAGAGGTCAGCATGAATGGTATAAAAACTAGTTCTGAAATGTTTAAAAATGAATAATTTTATGTGAAATTAAGTATTTATATTAACGGTAAGTTTACATACTCTCCTCTCTACCAAAAGAGCCCAAGATCTCCAAAACACCTTACCGATCATCACTGGGGTTCCTTCACTCTGGAAATGATGAGCCAGCTCCCGCCCTTGAGAGGCCATCTCAGAGCCTTGGCTAGAAGGAAAGCATTTTCTATCAGAAGGGCTATTTCTAACACTGAGGTCAAATAATGAGCTTGGGAACCAATGTTTTCTACCTTTTTGTTTTTTGGTTATTGAAAACAACACATATAAATTTAAATAAAACTAAGTGGTAGGGAACTGACTGAGAGAGCAATTTAAAGCAGCATAACCTCTCTCAATATTGAAGGCCACTAATGCACTAGGAAGGAAGCAGGAAGACCTTGATTCTTTGCTTCTGGAATTGCATGAAGAAGGTCCTGGATTTTTAACATGAGGTGGAAAGTGGTCACCTTGATGCCCAGGGGGCTCTTCCGGGTGGTTTTTTTTTTTTTAATTTATTTTATTTTATTTATTTATTTTTTTCCCCCAAAGCCCCAGTAGATAGTTGTATGTCAGAGCTGCACATCCTTCTAGTTGCTGTATGTGGGACGTGGCCTCAGCATGGCCGGAGAAGTGGTGCCTCAGTGCGCGCCCAGGATCCGAACCCGGGCCACCAGCAGTGGAGCACGCACTTAACCACTAAGCCACGGGGCCGGCCCTCTTCTCGGTGGTTTTAATTATGAGAAGAATGAGTCTTAAGTCCTGGGTTCTTGTCTTCTTGCCCTCAGACTCGGAGTCTGTATTTCTCATCTTTAAGTTGGGACCGGTTAAAGCTGCCCTGTCTACATCACAGAGATTCCAGGACTAAGACAATATCTGTGAAGCCAATCTGAAAACTGCAAAATGTTTTCAAGTACAACATATTATTTTTAGGGAATATTTCAATGTCCTATACAATTTGTACTTTTGAGAAGAAGGATGGACAGATGAAGGGAGGTATTTTTTTAGAATGGAGGTGCCAGGTGGTGCTAAACCTTAGCTCTTGCTTAGTAAGGAATGTATAAATAATGTTTATTTATTTATTAATATTTATTCTGTGCCAGAACTTTCACTTTTTAATCACCATACGCTTCATTACTTAATCTACCTTTTATTTGTTAATAAACTGATTTCCACAGCCAATCCAAATTGCAAATGTGAAATCAGCTGTATTAAATCATTTAGACAAATAAGGATAATGTTACTGTATTTATCAACATTGTTGTAATAGAAAATTAATTTAAAACATAAGCTCATAAATAAGGACCAAACTAGTTACGGTCATAGAAATCAATCTTATTTAATTTATATTTGCTCATATATATATATTTTTTTTGTGAGGAAGATCAGCCCTGAGCTAACATCCATGCCAATCCTCTTTTTCTTTTTGCTGAGGAAGACTGGCCCTGAGCTAACATCCATGCCTATCTTCCTCCACTTTATGTGGGATGCCGCCACAGCATGGCCTGACAAGGGGTGCGTCAGTGGACGCCCAGGGTCTGAACCCGGGCCACCAGCAGCGGAGCGCGTGCACTTAACCGCTACGCCACAGGGCCAGCCCCGTATATTTACTCATATTTTAATGTTGGCATTATGGTTAAACGATATTGGAAAAAATGAAATGAATATATTATTCAGACACATTATTAGTTTATTAACATCTTAAGAAGAAAAAGAGCAAGAGGTAGATGAAAAGGTCAGTCATAGATCAACATTTGATTTTCTCCTTTCAAGACTTTTTAAAGACTT